AATGGCCTTCATGGCTCCTTTCAGCTCTACTATTATATGATTCTGTGACGTCTGCAAAACTGCATGTGAGCATCTCTCTGCAGGACTTCTGCAGAGTGGCAACATGATCCACCAACCTTTGTCCGGCATTACTGACTTGACATCTGCACCAGGCAACAAGGCTGCTTCTTCAGCGAAGTAGTTCTGTCTGTGGCCCTTCATTAATAGCACCTGACCACCTCCAGCTCTAGGTAAGCTCACTAGTAACCCATGTGTGTGATGCACAGAGACCACGAAGAAGAAATTCAGGTTGCTTACCTGTAACTGTTATTTGAGTGGTCATCTGTGCATTCACCCAACCCACCTGCCTGCCCCATGTTGGTGCCAGTCAGCTTTGGTACCATGTTTTCCCTGTGGTCCCATATCCATCTGGTTTGTGTCAGCCATTCACTGGTCTTCCCTTGGTTCCAAGACCATAATATAAGTCTCGAAGGAACAGGGGAAAAGGGCAAGAACCTCTCCTAGACGTACCAGGGGGTGGGAGGAAAAGGGTTCCCACCAGAAGAAGTCTAGCTTGGAAATCTTCCTGACAACAGGTCCCACGTAGGTGCAGGGCCCATAAGCCAATGTGGTGTAGCGGTTAAGAACATGGGACTGGGACTCAGACGACTTGGGTTCTAGTCCCCACTCAGCCATGGAGCCAACTGGGTGACTTTGGGCCAGTCACAGACTCTCAACCCAACCTACCTCACAGGGTTGTTGTTGTGGGGATAAGATGGAGGAGGAGATGTAAGCTGCCTTGAGCCCTTTGTAGGAAAAAGGCAGGATATAAACCCATAAATAAATAAATAAATAAGCAAGCAAGCAAGCAAGCGTGAATGCACAGATGACCATTCAATGACAGTTACAGGTAAAGAAACCTAACATACTTGGATGTCTGAAGGAGAGATTAAAGATTCAACCTCTCTCTGCATTACAATGCAGTCACCAACACATGAAGGTTGGTACCATGGTGACCCTCCAAACCCTATCTTCTCCCCTTTCCCTAGATCTCAGATGGAGGACTAGAGGGATTGGCATTATCATTTTTGCTCTTCCTTATCAGATTCTGTACATTTTTACCATTGGAATGATTTGCACCCATATTCTCCAACTTACAGTTGTTTCAGATACTCCAGTATTCAGTGCTATGATTGTCCATTAACTTCCACTAATTTTGGGCTCTACCACTGTTACCTTATAGGATTGTGCACAGAGACCACAAGGAAGACAGGTTGCTTATCAGTAACTGTAGTTCTTTGAGTGGTTATCTGTACATTCACAGAATCCACCCTTAATCCCTGCTTCAGGGTTGATAGTTCTATCTCTACATTAGTATTGATATTGGGTTTTTATTTTATTTTTCTATAGTTTGATGGTTCACTTGGTTCTGAGACCACAGTGAACGTTCTCAGTAGAGTAGAATTGGGAATGGGCAGGGACCTGCTGATCATGTGTGTTAGACACTAATGGAGCCAAACATTCCTCAGCTATAGAATCTTCCTGACACAGGCTGCACAACAGGCACAAAGCCTAGATGCACAGATGTTTATTTATAACTGTAATTCTTCAAGAGGTCAACTACTTTCCTTCTATATTTGCTGATTCCTAGCTTTCTCTTGTGATCTGTTTAAGTGCTTTTCTGTTCACACCCTTCATGCCAAATATGAACATGTGCCTATCATAAACCCAGCTGTTTACGTTGCAAGAAACAAATCTGCCAGCAAGAGTTATGCCTGATGCAGTTGGCACCACCATAGCAAGTAGTCTGCAGGCAGTCTAGACAGAGTATCTTGCTTTTTTCTTTCTCTCTCCCACCTTTTCTTTCTCTATGGTAATGTGTGTTTTCACTCTTTATGCATGTCTCTTATTTTTACCGTTTACAATTCTTTCTTTTCATTAATCTACCTTGATTTTCTTTGAAACTCCTTGTTCTTTCCTCTGGATGTGTCTGAAACTTCTCCTAATCCCCAGCTGTTACACTGAGCAGCACATGGTGGCTGGGTGCGTATTTGCCTGTGAGAGCTTATCCTTATTATGGCTTGAGTCCAGCTTGTCTAACCTTTTGGGACAGTTGTTGAGGGGGTCTTACAAAGACTGGGGTCAAGATTAGAATTAGAAAGCTTCCACAAATCCACTTTGTAAAAGCCTCTAGACTGCTCTCAACATCATCTCTCCAGTCATGTGAAGTGCTACAGATAAGGAATAAGGAAGAGTTACAGGTAAGGAATAGCGAGGGTTTGTTCTGAGCAATAACAGTGATTCCGCATGTTCCTTACCTTCTGCATAGCTCAGCATGCACACAATGACAGCACAGGGGCAGGAATGCTTGTTCCATTTTGTGTACACAGAATTCTAATGAAATCAGAGGTCAGGGGAGCACAGTATGATCAGAAATTTAGCTTTCAGTTCTTAAAAATCTGTCCCACTCTAATTATAGAAGTGCACCTTGCCATAAAGGTGCTATCTGCAAAAGATTGCAGCTGAGAGGAAGCACGACTTTGGATGCTCTGCATGGCTACCTGCCTCTCATCAGGTCTTCAGATACAGTGGTACCTTGGCTCACGAACTTAATCCGTTCCAGGACTCTGGCCGTGACCCAAACTGGTCGTGAGCCAAGTTAAATTTCCCACATAAGGTTCAATGTAAATAAGGTTAATCCGTTCTGTAACTATTTTTTTAATCAGAAAAATGTGAAGCAAAGTGACAACAACAAAGATCACAGCCATCTCCCCCCACCCTTCTCCGAGCACGAGCATGGCCATCTCCCCCACCCCAGCATGACTGATCGTGCCTGTCATCCCTGTATGCGCCTGCCATCCCTGCACGCTGTGGGGGTGGGGGGGAGAGACGGGCGCAAACATGGGCGCAAACATGGGCGCACTGGGGGGAGAGACAGGCACGAACACAGGCACACTTGGGGGGGGGGGAGACGGGTGCGATCATGCTGTGGGGGGAGATGGCCAAGATCTCCGTTGCGCTCATGCAGGAAAGACAGGTGCAGTCTTGGCCATCTTCCACCTGCCCCCAGTACGATCGTGGCTATCTCCCTGCTCAGAGGGAGGGTGGGGAGATGGCCGCGATCGCGGTCACCATTCAGTGTGGAGTTCGCGACCTGAGTCAATTTTTTTTTGAAATTTTTGTTCGCAACCCAATTTGGTCGTGAACTGAGGTGTTCGTGAGCCAAGGTACCACTGTATATCTCTCTTGCCCTTGTTTATCAAGATCCCTCGTCTTGCTATTGCAACCCAACAATTAGGTTCAAATTGAAATGTTCAGTTTGAGCTGGAGTTGGATAACTTGGTTAGGTCAACCTGGGCTCAGAACCTTATTCACAACCTTGCACAGCATAGATAGAAATGCTTCCATCAATGAGAAGATGATAACATATGTGAGTTATGTGTAAATATAACTGGATAACGGTGCACATTATGTGGCCAACTGGATGTTGACACATAAGCTATTCTATTAGAGACACTAAAAATTTACAATGCATGGGACAGGATTAACACTTTAAACCACATGTAAAAGGATTAGGGTTGGTATATTCCAATTGTAGAAACAGGATTGGCTCTGCTGTTAGGAAGAGTGAGGAAACTGCCTAGGGTGACAGATACTGAGTGGCACAGGTTGGCTAGATTTGTGCATGCCTTATGGGTGCCAGGTGCCACCTAGGCTATTCTGCTGCTTCCTAGTATGTTGGCAGATGCTGTACTGTTGCCAGTGTTGCAATAAGATTCAGCTGGCTTTTGTACATTCACATGGATATGGGGCTTTGACTCAGGCAGCAGAATATTTGGGGATGCTCCTGGCAGCAAAGTGGTTTAGGTTTGGTTAAGGGACTAAAAATATGGTAGCCTAGTGAAATGGCTGGAGAAGCCTGTCTATCATCCTTCCTTGGATGTATTATAGAACAGTATCTCCGGAAGGTAGTATTCTGTAACTCACCTTCACATTCTATAACTCACATGCACCTCACCTTTTCTGGATATTATACATCTCCTCAGAGTCATGCTAATTGGCTTAAATTGTAGAATCTACAGATATGTTGTAGCAGCTGTCTACAACATGCGTGGTTCTAGAGTTTTTCTACAACTGTCCAAGCAAATACCATATTGTGCTATTTGACCCCGATTTTCTATATCGTAAACTGTAACCCATGGGCTGCACAGACATTCTTTTGGAGATCTTAAATCATCTCTTCACTTGCTATTCATTTCTAAGTACCTTAAGTTAATTTTAAGAACACAAAGTTACTTGAAGTACAAAATGAATCCTTTACTGGTACCCTTTGTAGCCTGAGAGATTGTTGTTGATAGAACTAGGAGAATTTCTGGAACTCTGGCTAAGTTCAGAGATACTTATCTCAGGGGTCAGAGTTTGGCAGCAGGACTCATGCTTATTGCAGGAATATTTCCAGAGATGGTTACTTTGGTCTAGAGATCAGACAATGAGTACAAATCAATCTGCACTAGCAGATTGCTCTTTGAAATGCTGGATGTGCTTCTACTTAATGATTAATAAGCTGTTGTTGCTATTTGTTGCTTCTCAGTAATATGCAAATTTTAGGGTCCTTCGGTCCACAAGGAGGCAAGTTCTGTGAAGCTGGGGGTTAGACTAGATGATACCTTTCACATCTGCCTTCAAACCAGTTTTTCTTCTGGTTTTGAAGTGCGCAGTCACAGATTAGAGTCCTAGTCTTCCTTACTAGTTAGGAGAGCTGTAGATTTCAGAACTGCAAGCCTTTTGGTGTTGGAGGAACCTGTTGTGTGGCTTGTAGCTGTACATGCTGATTGCAGGTAGACCTATTCCTTCAAATTTTCAGATTTTTTTCATTTGTATATCTCTAACTTTGCTTGACTTGAACAAGAATTTGTGCATTGCTTGCTCAGAGTGTAGCTAACATGCAAGATGTCTTGGGAGTGGGAAAATGACACAGATGTGGTAAGTATAAAGCCATCTCTTTCTCCCTTTTCTTTCAGTGCACAGCAACGGAGCACCCAAGCAAATAAGAAAAGAGCAATCCCAAATCAGGTACAGATGTGTGTATGTAATCTGAGAAGGACTTGGTGTTGGTGCACTCAGTCCAGCCTGTTGTGCATGCTGCGTATAATTGCAGAATGTGAACTGCCTTATGAGTGTGGCCAAAGTTTAACTGAAGATATATATGCTCTTGTCCTGTGTCCTTTGAAGACAGAAAATAACATTGTGCTGGCCACAAACTATAGGCAGTATAGGGTCTCCACTAAATTATCTGCTATGTAACTATTTAGGCTAGAATAGATTCTGCAGTGTCCTCCTTTTTAGCTCCAGAAATGGTAATAAAACTGGGCTAGTTTTAACACAAACAGGACAGATAGTCTTTCAGGCCAGACAAATAAAGAACAGTGCAACTATCCTTGCAAAAATCCTTCAAGGATTTGCCAGTCTTGAGATGTCTTCTGTTTGTGATGGGGTTGAACACAAGACTGGAAGTGTAACTTGTTGCATGAACATAGTCTTTATATAATGTATGTTCATATGTTAATTCTTGTTTGGTAATACTGTAATGAAACATTAACACTGTACAATTATAATTAATAGCATGTAACTTTTTTCTTTTACTGTTTCTGCTTTTTTCCTACCATTTTTGTGCTTTCTGCTTCCCTTTTCCCCTTCTGCTCCATTATTTGGTTTTCTTCACTGTTCTGTTCCCTCATCCTGCTTTTCCTTATTTTATCTGCACCACTAATTTTGCCAACTTCTAAAAGGGTGAGATACTGGTAAGTACTTGTATAATGTGCTAGTAAACTGATACATAAAACTTGGTGATGGAGACTTCCTTGTCCCCCAAAAGTAGAAGTCTTCAGATTGGACCAACTTTCTGCTTCAAATAAAGTGCACTTAATTGAATGGAAAAGCAAGTGACTTCAAATGTTCCAGGAGATCCAGACATGGGAACCATAACTTTGAACTCAGTTGCTAATGCTGATTTCTTGGTCTTACCAATTTGGCAATGAAGCTGACTTTAGGTAGGAATTCCATCTTTCTGAATGCAATTAGCCTGCAGGGATTGGTACCAGTTCCATCCTTCCTGGGATTCCAAAGGCATTTCACTATATGAAAAATGTGATAGGGCAGTGTCCTAACTGAAGTTTATTTTTGTGCCTGACTCAAAGCTTTACCCATTTTATGCTCTGTTGGCATGGAGTATGTATACATGCTTGCAACCTTTTTCTCATTTTAGTACTTAAGGGTCCAAGTGTCAGTTGCCTGAATGCCCTTGGGCTCTGGCTTCAACCAATACTGAAAAGCAGATCTGTAATTTCAAGTGGGAGGTATGTGTGTGTGCCACTACTGCACTTTGGCTGGTAATATTGTGAGTTGCTGGCAGACAGGCCAGCTGACTTTCTTCTAGCATTCCTGCCCATTTCCATTCTTTTCCTTCTTCAAAATACCTCTAAGTCCTTCATGTAGTACATCACACCACAGTGACTGGCTTGCTCTTAGGAGTATAACTTCAAGCAACCCCTATGCTCCAAGTGGAATTAGTAACAGGCAGCTGATAGTCCTGGATGTTCTGATGCCTCTACTGATGAACAATATTCATTGGGGCAGAGAACTGACCTACATGGACATGTATCTCACTGAAGCTGCTCTGGAAGATGAGATACAATAGTCTTAGCCCTCCAAATGCAGGATACTTGCCTATTCTCTGCATTTGTTTTGCCTGTTACCACCTGTTTGCTGAGCAACATGTTTTCTGTTCGAATTGACCATATGAGGAAGCATCTGCACTCTTTGTATTGTTTAGCTCAACCAGAAGTTTTGATTCATTATCCTTTCTACATCTGGAATAGCAACAGCAGTCCCAAGTAAAAGAAATGTTTGTAGTTTATTTGTAGTAGAAAAGCGTGTCCAGGAATGTTCTATCTTGGCAAGTGTTGACAAGCAACAATGGCACCTTTAGATGGTGAGTTGATTTCCTGGACTCAACATTGCATTAAATTCTACATCTAAATGACCAGCTTGTTTGGCAACTGTTGTACTTCATAAAATCTTCTGGCCTAATGTGTATACATCACAATCTGAGAGTGGAGTTGGGGTGTGCTTCTCTATCATTCCTGGGGTGAAGAGTTTGTATGTCCCATCTTTTCTTTGCATGTTTTCCCCTTGTCTGGTGAAATTGATGCAGTTCTATGCTTTTCCTTTAAGTGCACTGATTTTGTAAGAATTTTGAATGGTTGGCTTTGGCTTTGATTTGTATATTAAACAAAGTTTCTCAGTTCAAAAGTCCTTGAAGTGTTGTGGTTGATGGACTTGGAATGTGGAAGCAAATTAGTAACTTGCTGTTGGCTGTATAAGAAAATGGAATTGTCAGAAACTTCTACGTGGAAGTAAAGAGTAATATCTTAATACCATGCATGCTGAGAAATCCTCTGCCCATTTCTCTTCTGGAATGAATGGACTGATGTACTTATGCAGGGATCTGATTACCTAATTGTATTGTATAGTGCCAGTGTACATTAGGACATGCATGCAAGCTGGTCCATTTTGAATGGTTGTGCAGTCATTCTTTTATATCCAAGGTGTGAGATGCTTCCTGGTCAAATACTATTTCCACTGGACAGGAGATCCGTGCCCCCAATTCTGTAGGAACCAGAATGCTGAGCTAGTATAAAATCTGTGTTATGATATGGGCTTGTCTTGGTCAGCTTGCTTTGTAATCACAAACAGCTGATCATATGACAATTATTAACAATAATAATAGTAGAGTCTCTTGAAGAACCTGAAAGTTCTGACACATCCATTTTCATTATTTTCTAAGGTTAACTCTGTGCTGGGCTCAGAACAGTAATTTTCAAATTCTGGACAAGTACACTCTAGTGGACTGCAACAAATTAGAGGCTCAAATTAGAGCCCAAAGCACTCATCCACAAAGGAGGTTGTTCATTGCATCTGTACAAGTTGTGACTTTGGGTTTACCACCTTTTGAGCAGGCAGAAAACTCTGAACAGTAACCTTTATACCCAAAGCACTACTTTGAGGGTAATTTCTTTCTTAACTTATACTCGTGTTTCCTCTCATGATCTGTAATAGTGAAATTGCCTTCAATTTCAGTTCATCATAAAAGGCTACAATTGTCAGGCATTTGAAAGACACTGCAATAAAGCCTCCTGAGGGCCTGCCTGTTCTTCATGTCTCCAATTCCAATGCAACCCCTTGCCTTCTGTTACTGGCTATGAGAATGTGGAATGCCCTACAGTAAGATGAAGGTGGAAATCTGATTGGCTGGGCTGAGTTGTATTTTTCATAAAGTTTGAAGGTGGAGCTTGCTTTTCAGGCCTGACTAGGGGGTAGAACTCATACTACTGCATTGATGAAGAAGTAGGGATCCCTAAAGAAACCTGTATCTCCTTCCTTCAGCATTGTGCAAGCCTGGCTGTGGTACTAGAAAAACAGCAGGATAAAGAGACTGATACCTAGGAGTGAATGTCTCTCATCATTTCTGCTCAGATCTTTCCTTGATGCACTTGTTGTTCTCTTTCTGTTTTCTAAATCTGTATATATGGCCATCTGTAGAAAGGCCTGTTCAGGCAAGTCTTTTTTCTTTTTCCCAGGTAGAAACAGAAACGGTTTCCCCCAGACTGGTGCCCCTTGATCTGTTTCTTTTTACATGTAGGTTCTTAAGGTTTCTCCCTTTTCAGCACCTTCACAGTCTACTTTTCTGACTCCATTCCTTTAAAACTCAACTTGTTTTAAACAGTGAATGATTTTTTTCATCTTAATTTAATAGATAATACTCTAAAGAGAGGAAATTGTTAACTTTTTGTTGTCTTGAATTCACAGCTCCTCACATTACTCTGCATGCAAAGTTGTTGAGTTAAAATTAAAGTTTACAACAGCCCATGCCCACCAGTGCACCACTCTGTGTAAATGTGTTGTGGGCGCAACTTCGCAACTAACAACAACAACATGTTTATGTTGGCAGCAACGTGACAAGCACTGGAAAGATCAGATATGCCTGATCAGTCTACATTTCTTTGGTTCCTATTTTCTCAGTGCTGTTTTGGAAAATTTAACTGCAGTATTATCCTAGTGAAATTCCTGATCCCTTTCCATGGCTGCTTAACAGGCTTCTCTGTAGCATCTGTAGCAGTTGTAGCTATTTAGCTGTAGAGATTAGGTTTTCTCTCATCATCCAGTGTCTGCTTTGGCATCATTCTGCCCAAATGCCTCAACACATTTCCATCTGTGCATTACTAATCTGTGGTGTGATGGTACTAACTTGGGTAAACAAATTATGTGTGTTTTTAGATATTTGGGCTACCTTTTGGAAGGAACAGTAGGATGCAAAATTAAAACTAATAAGAACACTGCAGGGTCAGCACAGGTTTAGCCAGCCATTCTTAGACTCTTATGGCTGAACCTAGTTCTGCCTTGCAGAGTTTACTTGTTTTTGCTGCAGTGACCCTTCTCTAAGGGCCCATCCAGAAGCTAGGATTTTGATCAAGTGAGAAAAATGAAAACATGAGGTGCCTTTGGTTCACTGAGCTAAGATAGTATATGTTCTTACTCCACTTTTAATTTGTTTATTTGTTTCCCTGAATTTTGGTAAACCACCTTGATTGGTTTCAAAACCGCAATATAGGCATGCAGTGAATAGACACCGATATGTTCAAAATTTTGCAGACATGAGGACATCCACAGCAGCTCTGGCAACCATCATAAAAAGTGAGCCTGTTTTGGGCAGAAATTAAGAGATCCCCTTCCCAGTTGCTTATCCTTAAGCAATTATTCTTTACTATTCAGATGTTCAAAGCACAATTCTAGGGAGCATATTTTATTTATGTATTTATTACAGTTATATTCTGTTCCCTAGTCGGAAAGGCTCCCTGGGCAGTTTACAGAGTTAAAACATATAAGCAAAGATAAAAATAACAATATCACAATAAAAACAGTGACAACAACCAATAGCCAACAATAATAAAAATAGGCCTAAAACAACTTGTCAAATTAGTACACAGATACAGCAGCATCATCTAATAAAACCCTATTAAAAGTACAGTTTTAACCATTAAAATGCCTGGAAAATAAAAGGGTTTTCACCTGACACTGAAAGGGGGAAAAAGGGAATACTTACTCATTTGTCTGAGGAGATTCTGTGTACTGTGTTCTATGTTCTTTGAACGCTTTGGTCACAAGCCCTTCACACACAGTGTGCTTATTAGTTGTAGGGCTAATAATAAAAAAACACAAGCTTCCATGTGGCTGTACATTTCAGGGAAGACTGATGGTGGTAGGAACAGTTCTCTTTGAGAGTAGCTCATCCACCGTTACTCATTTTCTCAAATAGGATAAGCTTCTGAGGTCCCCTTGCATACCTTCAAACACTGTATGAAAACAGTTGCTTTAGAGACTTGACAAGATACAAACTAGACAGACTAGCCTAACCCTAACCCTACCCAATATTGATATTTCAGTGATCACCCTAATTTCCTTTTTTATTTTGTGAATCAATTTTTGAAGTTGGGCTAGTTACAGCAAAGAAGAGGAAAAGGAAAGACAATAGCCTTGTTTACTTGTCATGCTAAGCCACCCTTATAATAAACCACATGGGTTGGTAGTTCATTAAACAATCTGCACTACTCCTGATGGCCGATTGTACCCCTCAGGGCTTGTTGCCTTGTGCCAGCTCCAGCACCTATCATAGGCACCTTTGCAGTAGAACTTGTTGTCCTTTGGCATTCATTCTGCAATCGGTCTGCCGAGGTTACTAGTTACGGTACGAAGTGAAACTCCCCCAGATCTGCATCAAATTGCCAAATGGAATTGTCAGAGCCTTGATGAACTCAGGAACATGTCAGTGAGCTTTGCTTGCTTGTTCATTCATTCGTTCCATATTTAGTCCAGCATACATTCATAGAATAATAGAATTGGAAGACCATCAAGTCCAACTCACTGCTCAATGCAGGACTCCGACTTAAATCATCCCACACAGATGGCTGTCGGCACCAGTCTAAGACCTTTTATTTAAACAATATTTTAACAACTCTTAATAATATCTATAGGTTTTAATTTTGCAGCCAGGGTGATTCTGGGTTTTTATTTGTATTATTTTACTATGTATTATGTTTGTTTATGTTATGTGAGCCGTCCCGAGGCTACAAGCGATGGTACGGCATACAAAAATTCTAAATAAAGAATCTGGCTTCCTGTAATTTGAGTCCATTATTCCATATCTGACACTCTGGGAAGATTGGGAAGAGATCCTGGCCCTCCTCTGTGACAGCCTTTTCAGTATTTGAAAAATTCTATCTTTTCTCGCTTCATTCTTCTCTCTTCTCCAGGATATACATTCCTAGTACTTTCAATCTGTCCCTTTAGCAGCCTTCGAACCACCTCTAGCTTGTCTACATCCTCTTTGAACTGTGCATTTGATTCCCTTTTTCTAGGTTTGGAATTTGGCATTTGTTCCTATTGACTGCCATTCTGTTGCTTTCATCCCAACGCTCCAATCTATCAAGGTCCCTTTGAATTTTGTTTCTGTCTTTCAGGGTATTAGCTGTCCCACCCAATTTTGCATCCTCTTGCAAATTTGATCAGCATTCTCTGTGCCTCCTCACCCAAATCATTAATAAAGATGTTGAAGAGTACTGGGCCCAGGACTGAAAGCTCTGGTTTCCCATGATCTGTTGTAGGTTTCTGCTGTCAATAAGATTGTAGCGTATGGAACTTGCCACAAGGAGAGACTGCACATAAGCTAATGTGTGCATAGTTGCCAGGAACAAATAGCCTAGTTCACAGTTGAAAAGTGCTGGCAACAGAGAAATGTGGCAAAGAGAATGAGGCAATATCATCCACTTAGTAATGTAATCTTCTTAATATTAAGTATTGAATTGACAGTTCTCCATGCTCACTTTCCGGAGTCTTCAGCTACTCGAAAAATGGATGTTGTTAACTCTCCCTACCACCAATTTTCCAGCTAATTTTAAAGCACTTACT